GGATGCACCTACCCCGGTAGCCACCGCCTCCTCCACCGGCAGTGCAGGCCCCGCCACCGCCCCCGAAGCCGCCGACTGCGGCCCAGCCGAGTGTAGCCCTGGCCTCGGCACATCCCTGGCCGCCCTCTGCCCCTTCCTTCAGTGAGCGGCCAGACTGCGGAGAGCGGGCCTGTGATGTCCAGCCGCCCCCTCCACCTACAGAGCGACAGCAGGATGATTGGCAGCAGGGGGTGGGGAGTAGCGCCCTTGCCCGCGGTGGTCCCGCGCCCTCACCTGCCGCCCCTCCTCTCCCGCCGCTCCCTGGCGCCGCCGACCGGTTTTCCAGTTTCTCTGGGGCGGCCTGAGTCCGGGCTCGGTCCTGCCGCCTCAGGTAGGCCCGACCGCCGCCTCCAGCAGCCACCAGCAGCGGCTCCAGCTCGCCGGCGCGTAGCTATGGGGCCAGCAGCGCGATTAGAGAGGGCGCCTTCCCTGCCGTCTAGGAAGGACTCCGGCCGGGCGAGAGCTCCCGCTCGAGGGCCAGAGGAGAGCATGGGCTTCCTGCTGCGCCCAGGTATAAAGGGACCTCAAGGAATGAAGTAGAGCTCGTGCGTGTGAGCCCCGGGTAGGAGGACAGGGACCTCAACGCTGGGCTGAAGGGCAAGCGTGGCCAGCACCGGTCGTAGCACGTACCCGGAAGACGTAGGTGGCGCCCCCTCCACCCCCACCACCTCCAGCCCAGTGCTGCGACCCCCGGACTCTTTTGGTTTCATCGGTCGCCGCCGTGTGCTCTTCAGTGGACTGAGACTCTCCAAGACAGACGAGTTGGCTCTCGGGACTACCCTGCGAGAGCCAAGGGCAAAATGAGCCTGGCCTGGGACCCTCAGATCGCTGAGGTGTCTGAGCACCGAGGAAGGAATGCCCCGATGGCCACCCCCATGACACCCATCCCCTGTCCTGGACACTCAAACCACCTTTTTCCTTCTGAATCCACTTACTCCTGGACAGGCGTCCTCTCCCTGCTGCCCCACTAGGATATACAGCTGCTCCCCACGACTTAGGGAGAAGATCCCTGAGACGAAGACGCCATGCGCCCGCGACAGGTGGTTCTTGGCGCCCTTGCCGCCTGCGGCTCCGTAGGCTGAGATCCTGAGGGAAGAGGGCGCTGAGTCCCTGGCCCTTGGTCCGGGAGATCTCCAAAATTTCTTATCCAAGGAACTTAGAAACTGTAGTAGACTCTGAAGGGATGGGAAGACTAGGTTTGCATACCAAAACGTTAGATTTTGAATATATTTTAATGGAGATGGCAGGAGGCTCAAGCCCCCGTTGGCGCCGCTGCTGATTAGGGGCAATCATCTCGGCCATACTAGGCTCCAAAGTACATGCTAATTCAGTGACTATGGCTACTCTTCCCATGGTCCACTGGAAGGAGATACAGTCAAGGTCGCCACGTTAGTTATTGCAGCAGAATACTCTAAAATGCAATGTGATGGATGGGCATGTGGCCTTTTTTTCTGTTACTATAAAATCCCAGACTAGCAGGTCACCACCACCTCTACCCATCCCCAACACTTACAGATACTGGCCGGTGCCTGGTGCCCGCCACAGCTGCACTCCTTTCAGAGGCCCTTCGGCCCCCACTGTCACCATCACGCTGGTCCCCTCGTATGCCCAATCACATTGTGTTTGTGTGGGGCCCCATCGGCCGCTGGCCCCGCAGGTGGAGAACAGCCAAGGACCCTCTATGCCTGGGAGCGGGAGTAAGGAAAGGGTTGTCGAGCCCCTGGCCAGGCCTCGGGGTCTGAGATTATTGAATGGAAGAACCCGCGGAGCTCACCTAGAGAATTTGTGGGGGAATCTGGCTCTAATCTGTTAGGCGGGGCGGCCACTTTCGAGTCCCAGGGGCTTGGAATTGGTAGCGGCAAGGGCGAGGATGGAAGAAAAGGCGCCTGGGACCCGGCGCTGCAGCAGAGAATGGCGCCTGAAATGTGGCAGGGAAATAGAGGGGTTGGGAAAGGGCGTAGGATATTAATCCGGCAGGGCTGGGGGTTAAAGAGAGACAATAATCCCTCTACGGCTCTTCGCGGCCACACCCCTAAACACTGCCCAGCCAGTGCACACTGAAGCCTGGAAGCCGGCAATAACCCAACTCGGTCGCCAAAGCCTCGCGGGTTGCCGGCTGATCACCTCTACCAGGTTCTCCCCTCAAGAGTCCTTCCCCCTGAATAACTGAGCCCGGTTCTGCAGCCCTCCCCGTTTTTCTTTACTTAGATTAGAGGCCCTACTCCCAGGCAGTGCTAACACACAGGGCTTGTTCTTGGTTCCCAAGATGCGCGATAGGATCCTAGGATTTGGGCGAGTCTGGCGCTTCTCCGCCTGCACTCCACAAACGTGGAGAGCTTTAACCGCGAAGGTCCAAAGCCTCGGTAGGAACCACTATGCCCTGGTCTGTCGCGAACGCTGTCCCCAAGTCTAGGAAGGTGCCTCTGGTCGGCTCGTTCCTTGACCGCCAGACAGCACTTACCCGCAGCTCCGAGCCACAGCAGCAGAGGGCCGGAGCAGCCCATAGCCAGTTCAGTCCACCCCAGCTGATGTTGAAAGCTCAGAACTTGCCACCACAGCAGGCAGCATAGGGTAGTGTCCAGCGGTTGGTGAGACACCCCTGGGACCTATTGTCTGTGGCCACGCCTACTTCAGACCCCAGAATGTGAAAGGAGGAAAGGGCGGGACGTGTGGGCAGTTAGGTCCCCGTGCTTCCGGGAAGAGCCTTGTGGAACCCCCACCCTGGGGCTGTCTCCAGATTATAGAGTATGCGTCTGGCTGCCCCAGGGGCTTGTGGTGGTTTTGAGATAGGGGAGGAAATGCCCCCATGCCCACCCTTTTGAGACAACAGCCTAAAAGGCAGCTAGCCACAACCCAAGCACTCAGTAGGGGCTTCTAGGTTTCTAGGGATAGGAGCAATGGGGACTGTGCTGCCATGGTGATGATGGTGGTGGTGTGTATACCGCATGGGAAGTACTCTTTCTCTTTAAATTGCCCCGACTGGGCATGATGGTGCATGTTTGTAATCCAAGCAATTTGGGAGGCTGAGGCAGGAGAGTAACAAGTTCAAAGCCAGCCTCAGCAATTTAGCCACACCCTAAGCTATTTAGCCAGACCCCATCTTAAAATAAAAAATAAAAAGGGCTGAGGGTGTAGCTCAGTGATAAAGCCCCCTAGATTCAATCCCCAGTACAATAGGATACAATACAATAAACTGCCCAAATAAGGCTGGGCTTGGTGGTACAGGCCTGTAATCCCAGCAACTCAGGAGGCTGAGGCAGGAGAATTGCCAAGTTGGAGACCATATTAGCCTAGTGATAGGGCACCTGTGGGTTCAATTCCCCAGTACCAGGGAGAGTGGGGGAACTGCATCAAGTAAGGAGGCATCATTACTTGTCATAACTTCCAGTGCCTTTGTGACTGCAAGGCTGAACCTCCCTGATAACCTCAAAATACAATTCTATTGCCCTTTAACTCTGTGCATATCTTCGTACTGTGAGGGGGTAGAGACTAGACAGGATGTCGTAAGACCTGAGCACTAGTATTACAACATTAATCAATGGGCAAGACAGCACAGGCTTCAACTGCTCTGAGATGGTATCCCCACCACCTGGAAAGTCATATGAAGAACCTGCTCTGTAAACCACAAGGCACCTGTACAGGTGGGAGGGCCACTCAGCTTCAGCCTTCAGGTGGTTGTGTGTACTGAGTCCTCAATCTGTTGCTCAAAATGCAACTTAAAAGACTGAGACCTCTGTTTAATATAAAACACCTAAAAAAGCAGTTTAGCTACTTGGTAAAGTCTGAGTAAGTAGTGCTAGTTATAGCCACAAAATGATTTTTATAAAAATTCTGGGCTCTATGTCCCAGTTAACTCTGTAGATATCCTACTATGAGGTAAGAGAATTTACTTCACAAGATCCCTGTAAAACCAAAGATTCTTGAACTGTGGTTGGTCCAGGACAGTAGCATCAGTATGACTTGGGAATTTGCTAGAAATGCATATACTTTGCCCCATCCTAGACCTACTGAAGTCTAAAACTCTGGCAGTAGAGCCCAGCAATATTTATTTACTTATTTGTAGTTCTGGGGATTGAACCCAGGGTGCCTTACCACTGAGCTACATCCCCAGCCCTTCTTTATTTTGGAATAGGGTCTAGCTAAGTTGCTGAGGCTGACTTCAAACTTGCAATCTTCCTCCTGCCTCACCATCCCCAGATAGCCAGTATTATAGGCTGCACCACTATGCCTGGCAGCAATCTGTTTTAATCCACCCCCCAGGTGATTTTTATCACTCAGGCTCGAAAACCATTGCTATATGCAGATACAATGGCTGCTTAAAAAAACCTATTGGCTGGGCATGGTGGCACACACCTGTGATCCCAGCAACTCAGGAGGCTGAGGTAGGATGACCTCATGTTCAATGTCAGCTTCAGCAATTTAGCAAGTTCCTGAGCTAACCCTGTCTCAAGAAAAAAAAAAAAAGAAAGAAAGAAAGAAAGAAAGAATGGGGATGTGGCTCAGTAAGCTCAGTGGTAAAGCAGCAGTTGATGGAAATAGGATGATACAGAGACTTATGCTTATCACATTAAGAATACCTATACTCCTAGTAGATTGCTGGGAGTGTTCAAGAAGTACCCTCATTCCCAAAAGCATTGCTCTGGGCTTGCTCTACCCAGGAACTAAGACACACATTCTTGCTGTCCCCAGTTGTGGACTGTTCTCACCTCCCACTCATGATTTTTTTTTTTTTTCTTTTTGGACTGGGGATTGAACTCGGTGTTGATTTACTACTGAGATGCATCCCCAAACCTTTTAATTGTTTACTTTGAGACAGGATCTCACTAAATTGCCCAGACTAGCCTTGAAATTGTGACCCTCCTAGCCTCCCACTTTCGATTCTTTCCCCACCTCTCTTTGGGATAACACCCTTTGATACCAACTCTGAACTAACATGATTAAGATCAGTCCAAATCAGCCAGGACACTAAAAAAGAATTTATTTCAATGCACAACATAGTAGATGAGATGTATGTAGAATGTTTTATCTCAAAAGGGGGGGTAAACAACTAAGTCACCCTTCACTCGCAGCACAGGCCCTCAGAAACCCCAGATCCTGCGCTCCAGGTACCAGGATGTAATGGTAAGGACCATTCTGTTCAAAAAAAGCTCAAATAACATGTTCTCAGGACAGGAAGCTTTCTGCTCCTTTGTGTCTTGCTTCCTCTAGGAAGTGATGCTTTTCTGTCCAACCAGGTGTCCACTGGTAAGCCCCTGGAGAATGTATCCATCTTCCCATCTGTAGCAACTGTCCTAGGTCTCTGATACTCCATTTTGTAGTACACCTGAGGCCATTCTCTGGAGGTGCTGCTGCCGCAGAGGGGGCAATTGGGAATAGAGCTCAAAGCCCTCTGGGAGGCTGGAACTGGGAAGCTTATAGTGCAGGAGGTGCTGCCGGAGACACTGCAGGAGAGAAGAAACATTATGAAGTGTGTAGTGAAATCCTGTTGTGGTCTCTGTCCATAAAACCCTCTCATCTCCCACCCTTCTAATGGCCCCAACCCTACCTCATCTGCTAACAGCCAAGTTCTCTGCAGCATACTTCTTTGGACAGCTTTCACTTCATCCTAGAAACACAATAGGGAGAGGTGGCACCAAGCCAAAGGTGGGAACTCACCGCTGGCCTTGCTTGACCCTCATCTCCTCTATAGCTGGCCTAGAGGCAGCTCAATTGCTAGCTCCCTTCCTCCCTCTGAAGGGATGTAACTTACTGAGCTCTTTGGATCCTGGGAGAAGATGAAGCTATTGACATGAGCCACAGCTACAGCATAGAGTACAGGACACCAATGTGGACGGAGTGCACCAGTAACAAGAGTCCTGAAGTAGAGCTGAAGGAGGGCCAGGTTGTCTTCGGGAGGGCCCGTATAGCACTCCAGGGACACTGGCAACTGTGACAGGGGAAACAATGTGCTGAGGAGAAGGACAGGAATGTGCATCACGAAACAACATGGTAGATGGTTGGAGGGCACATGCAAACCCAATCATGAGGGTAGAGATCAGGTCCTGGATTTATCTTTCTCTAGCACATGAATGAAGGTTAAAGACTAAAGAGCAGAGCAGCAACTGAGAAGTAGTTGTGAATTTCTACTGCCTAGCACATATTATTTAATGAACGTAAAACTTTTTTTATTTTGGGGGTGGTAGGATAAAACCCAGGGCCTACTTTGTGTTAACCTCCTCACAGGCATGTAGATTTTTTCAGATTTTTTGTTATTTTAAGGAACCATGTATAAGTAGCATTGTACACAAACTTTATCTAAGTAATCATTTTTCTCTCTCTTTTTTTTTTTTTTTGTACCAGGGATTCAATCCAGGGGCACTTAACCACTGAGCCACATTCCCAGCCCTTTTGATTTTGAGACAGGATCTCATAAAGTTGCCTAGGGCCTTGCTAAATTGGTGAGGCTGGCTTTGAACTTGCAATCCTTCTGTCTCAGTCTCCCTAGCTACTGGGATTATAGGAATGTGCCACCACACTTAGCTATATAATCATTTCTGTGTGGAATTAATAACAACGTTTTAGAAAGAAAACTGTATCCAGACAACATGAACTTGTTTGTTTTGGTACTGGTGCTTACCACTGAGCCTGTTTTTTTTTTTCAATTAAACATTTTATTTTTTAGTTGTGGGTGGACACAATACCTTTATTTTATTTTTATATGTTGCTAAAGATTGAACCAGTGTTTCACACATGCTAGGCAAGCACTCTACCTCTGGGCTACAACTCCAACACCCCCAGACTGTTTTATTTTTTATTTTGAGACAGGGTCTTGCTAAGTTTCTTAGGGCTTGCTAAATTAATGAGGTTGGCTTTGAACTTGCAATCCTCCTGCCTCTGTTTCCCAGGTTGTATACCATCATGCCTGCCTCAGAGAACATGAATTTTGATGGTTGGTAATATAATTAAGCAGTGAATATGATATTTTTAAAGTTTTAAGTTTGGATAAAGGATGTAACTTAGTGGTAGAGCACTTCTAACATGCACGAAAGGCCCTGGGTTTGATCCCCAGCACTGAAAAAAAATTAAATGTTTATTTCTTATGTGATGTAAGAAATGCTTATCTTTTTTTTTTTTTTTGGATACCAGGGATTGAACTCAGGGGCACAAGACCACTGAGCCACATCCCCAGTCCTATTTTGTATTTTATTAAGAGACAGGGTCTCAGGGCTGGGGTTTTGGCTCAGCAGTAGAGTGCTTGCCTCCCATATATGAGGCACAGGGTTCGATCCTCAGCACCACATAAAAATAAATATATTAAAAAAAAAAAAGATAAAAGATCTTAAAAAAAAAAAGAGAGAGAGAGAGAGACAGGGTCTCACTGAGTTTGGCTTTGAACTTGTGATCCTTCTGCCTCAGCCTCCTGAGTTATCATGGTAATGTTCATTGAAAAGTTCATTATACTAGCCAAGCGTGGTGGTGTATGCCTATAATCCCAGCAGCTTGGGAGACTGAGGCAGGAGGATCACGAGTTCAAAGCCAGCCTCAGCAATGGCAAGGTGCTAAGCAACTCAGTAAGACCCTGTCTCTATAGATCGAGTGCCCCTAACTTCAATCCCCAGTACAAAAAAAAAAAAGCCAATTTGGAAAGCAGTATGGAGATTTCTTGGAAAGCTGGGAATGGAACCACCATTTGACCCAGCTATTCCCCTTCTCAGTCTATTCCCTAAAGACCTAAAAAGAGCATACTACAGGGACACTGCTACATCGATGTTCATAGCAGCACAATTCACAATAGCAAGACTGTGGAACCAACCTAGATGCCCTTCAATAGACAAATGGATAAAAAAAATGTGGCATTTATACACAATGGAGTATTACTCTGCATTAAAAAATGACAAAATCATAGAATTTGCAGGGAAATGGATGGCATTAGAGCAGATTATGCTAAGTGAAGCTAGCCAATCCCTAAAAACAAATGCCAAATGTCTTCTTTGATATAAGGAGAGTAACTAAGAACAGAGTAGGGAGGAAGAGCATGAGAAGAAGATTAACATTGAACAGGGATGAGAGGTGGGAGGGAAAGGGAGAGAGAAGGGAAATTGCATGGAAATGGAAGGAGACCCTCAGGGTTATACAAAATTACATACAAGAGGAAGTGAGGGGAAAGGGAAAAAAAAATAACAAGGAGAGAAATGAATTACAGTAGATGGGGTAGAGAGAGAAGAGGGGAGGGGAGGGGGGATAGTAGAGGATAGGAAAGGCAGCAGAATACAACAGACACTAGTATGGCAATATGTAAATCGGTGGATGTGTAACCGATGTGACTCTGCAATCTGTATATGGGGTAAAATGGGAGTTCATAACCCACTTGAATCAAAATGTGAAATATGATATATCAAGAACTATGTAATGTTTTGAACTAACAATAAAAATTAAAAAAAAAGTTCATTATACAGTGATACTATTTTTATAAAAATATATATGCATAGAAGAAGAACTAGAAAAAGATTAAAAAAAATGGTTACCACTGGAGGCTGGGGCTCAGAAGTAGCGCATTTACCTGGTATGTGTGAGGCACTGGGTTCAATTCTCAGCACCACATATAAATAAATAAATAAATAAATAAAATAAAGGTCTATCAACAATTAAAAAAAAAAAAAGGTTACCACTGGGTAATGGGATTATGGATGACTAAAATGTTCTAACTCTTAAAAATAATTTTATTTATATTTCTTTAGTTCCTTTTATATAAAAAATGTATTATATACAATGTTTTGTATATAAAACCTTTTTGTTGGTACTGGGGATTGAACCCAAGAGCATACTACTATTGAGGTACATCCTTGGCTCTCAGCCCTTTTAGTTTTTTATTTTGAGATGGGTTCTCACTGAGTTGGTGATACTAGTCTGAAACTTGCAATCCTCCTCCTTAACCTTTCAAGTAGCTGGGAGGTAAAATTAAAATACTTATCTTTTAATTTTATCATAATAAGATATAATAAAAATAAAAATCAAATATTTCAAAAAATATTTTTAGCTGTAGATGGACACAATACATTCATTCATTCATTCATTCATTTATTTATTTATGGTGCTGGGGATCAAATCCAGTGCCTCACATGTGTGAAGCAAACACTCTACCACTGACCTACAACTCCAGCCCTAAAAACCAAATCTTAAAAAAAAGAAATCTACTTAGTAACTATAATTTGTAAGTTTAACTCTTTAATCTGAGGTTTGAGGCCCTCCAAGACTCTGTTTCTTAGCCTTGTTTCTAACACGTTCCCCAAAGAAATCTCTCTTCCCTCCCTGCGCCCTGTCATATTCCTTCCTGCCTTTTTTATTTTTGTTTTGTGATACTGGGATTGAACCTAGGGGTGCTTTTCCACTGAGTTATATTCTCAGTCCTTTTTTATTTTTTATTTTGAGACAGGTTATTGCTAAGTTGCTCAGGCTGACCTTGAGTTTGTGATCCTTCTGCCTCAGCCTCCTGAGTTGTTAGGATTAGAGGCCTGGGCTAGGTTCTGCCTCTGGATTTTTAGTTATGTTATTCCACCAGGAACATCCTGTCCAAGTTTTTCAACAATTCAAATTCTATCTAACCTTCAAAGACTCCTATGGGAAATTGCCTCTGATCTTTCCCTTCTCTGAATCCTTACTTAACACCTAGAATCTGGATAATTCAGAACTATGGGCTTTTACCAAATTTCTTTTTATCTAAGTCATAGTACCTTATGAGCAAGAAGCTATGCTCTTGGGGCTGGGGTTCTGGCTCAGCAGTAGAGCACTTACCTAGCATATACGAAGTGCTGGGTTCAATCCTCAGCACCACATAAAAATAAAAAAACAAATAAAATAAAGGTATTGTGTCTAACTATAACTAAATAAAAAATTATATATATATAAAAGCCATGCTTTGTTAATAATAATGAATATTGGGGCTGGGGATTTAGCTTAGTCGGTAGAGTGTTTGCCTCGAATGCATAAGGCCCTAGATTCAGTCCCTAGCACCACAATAAATAAATAAACAAACAAATAAATAAATAAAAGAATGAATACAATTATATGCCAGATGCCTTGTTAAACCCTTTTTGTGGATTCTTCTAATTTGCTTAAGCCCACAGAGTTATAACAAACCTGAGGACCATGAAAGCTCCCACTGCTCAGGACTCCCCCCAGGGCCCACTGTGGTGTGCCTTTGGCAGGCCCTGCTGGGCTGAGAAAGTACCTGATTCAGAGGCAGGCCCAGTGCTCTTAAGGCTCCCACGTGCTCTCCAAAGAGAGCAAGGCGCAAGGTGACACTGAATCGACGTTGCAGGGGAAGGAGGACCAGAGCTCCAAAGAGGTGATCCCCAAAAGAGACAGCTTCAAAATGCTCCAAGAAGCTGGCATATAGGTCAGGAAAAGAAGTCAGGCCAGGCAGTGGGCAGTCCAGGTTGAGGCTTGGTAGGACTTGAGGCTGACAGAGCCGGGCTAGGAGGGCTGCAACTAGACGCTGTACTGGGATCTCTCGGAATAGCTCACTGTCCACCAGGAACACACACATGAGCCGTGCCAGGCGGGCAGCAGGAGGCACAGTCCAGAGGGCCCCAGGGCGCCAGCTCTCTAGAACCAGCACCCACTGCAGGACCCGAATGGCTGTGCCCAGGGTGTCCACAGGAGGGACTCCTGAGGGAGTGTCGGAAGCTTGGTGATAGAGCTGAATCAATGGCAGGAAGGGCCAGTCGGTAGGCAGCAGAGTCTCCTTAGGTACAGGTAGCAGCAGAGTTGAGACTTGCTGTAGGTCCCCTCGGTGCAAAGCCTGGGAGGCCAGAAGGCTGGCTCGGGCTGGTGAGCAGTGGGTCAGGTAGCAGCTGCGGATGCTGGGGAGGTCCTGGCAGGCCTGAACTAGAAGAGCTCCTCGCCCACACTGAGGGTCCCCACTGCTCCCTAAGGAGAGTCGATCGGAGAAGTCAGCTGCCTCTGGACCCCCGGATGCATATTCTCTATAACAGGACCCAAAAGCCAAAAACAAGGGTTAGAACCACAGTACCCAGAAGGCTGTGCCAGCTCTTTAGAACTTCCCAGAGGATTCTAAATTCAATCCCACTCCTCTCTGCTCCTTGGATAACCTCCCACACAATGTTGTGTAGCAATTAAGGGAATAGATGCTGGAGCCAGCTGCTGAGGTGCACGTTCACATAAACTGTGCTTGTTCCCTCACAGTAAAATAGGGATAATAACAGACTCTTTCTCATGTCATAGGTAAAATACTAAAAATACAGATAAATACCTAAGGGAGTCCAGTTAGAGCTCACACTCATAACTATTATATGCACACAGTTGGTTTATATGCCATTTTTAGCCATACAGTTGCACTGAAGTCTCACAATCATATTCTGGGGTAGTAACCTCATTTTTCTTTACTAGTGAAGAAACAGTAGCTCAGACAAGTTAAGTATAATCCATAAATAAAAGAGAATCAAACCTAGGTCTCATGGCTTCCAATTCAGGCTGCTTTATTAACTATTGCTGCAGCATTTTAAAGAGTTGAGTTGCAGCATCTAAAAGAGTTGAGTTGATGCCTCCAACCCTGGACTTACGGGAGGAACTCCAGGCGGAACACACAGCTTAGCAGCAGCTCCTGGGCAAGATATTCACTTCCAGGCAGCAGCCGGCTCAGCAGGGCCAAGGCCATAGCATGAAGAAGGGCAGTATTGGTGGTCAGCACTGGCTGGAATGCTGCCTGCGGAGAGAAAGGCAGTGTCATTCAGTGTGGGGAGGATGGAGGAGGGATCAAAGCAGAGAAGAGTGAGGGAGAGGACATAAGCAAGATGGAGGATATAGATCCAGAATAACTGGAATAAAGTAGGAGCCACATGGTCTGGCAGAAGCAGCACAAGTGCTAGAGAAGCATGGGTAGGAAACAGGGCAGAACCTGCAAACAAGGGGACCTACCGCTTTTTGGGCCAGGGAGAGCACCAGGTACTGCAGGTGGTACTCATGGCGCAAGGCCCATGCAGAGAACGGTGTGAGGTGTGGGGCAGTCCCAGGAGCCACGCACTGGAGGAAGTAGTTCTGGAGTCCTGGGGCAGCCAATACAGCAGCCAGCTGAGGAAAAACAAGTTTGTTCAGATCTAGAAATTGACTTCCAGCCACTCAGAGAAATGGGTACTGGCAGAAAGGCCTCCCTTTGCCCAGGTACCCCCACCCCTACATACACCTTTCTTTCTGATTTCTGACATCTTGACCCCTGCCTGGCTCCTAACCAGGCACTTGGAGCTTACCTGGCCACATATGCCCTTATGGATCCGGGCCAGGGTGTTGAATAGAGAGAGGAGAGCAGTGAGGAATGGGAAGGGTGAGGCTGACCCAGCCAGACTGAGAGACGGACAACCTCCTGTGCAGCGCAGTGACACGAGACTGGAGAGAGCTTCAGGGGCCGGAGTGCAAGACAGCGGGTTACAAAGAGGGGAGCAGTGCCTGTAGACACAATAGAGAAGTTGACAGGGCTCTGGCCTGATGTGTACCAGCCTAGAAAAGGCCATCAGGGGTTTGGCTATGCAGACAGGTGTCCACACTCAAAGCCCCACACAGCTGCTGCCTGCTAGGGATTCCTAGCAGGAATTTCCCTGAGGCCTCTGAGGATCTGTACCCTGGGATGGACCAGGGGAGCTGAACCCAAGAGTTCCACAAGGAGAGAAACAGCCTTCTCCCCTGCCTCCTCACAGCTACATTCACACAGAACATACCTGAGGGAATCCCACAGGCGGCTCAGAGGGGGCTGACTTATCAGAGGCAACAACAGATCCTCCAAAAGGCGCTCCATGTCCTGAAGCCAGTCCTCTGGGCACAAGCTTGGCTGCAGAACAAAGAGCTCATTGAGCTAATGGTCCAAGACAACCATTCTCCCAATTCCTGTGGACTCAGATCAATCCCACAATTCCAAGAGCTTCAGAGAATCAGTCTGTAGGATTCTGCAGTTTGACCCTCTGAGGGAGGGAAGGTCCCAAGGTTGCTCAGGAACCCAAATCTAGGGTTACAGGAAGTCAGCATAAAGCTGTAGGAAAGCTATGCTGCTGTTCAGGGGTCTCTAATCCCCACCTATATAACTCCTTCAAAGCTCTAGTGAGATATGGAAGTGGGAAGAGGAGGCAAGGTAGGAGTTAAAAGGTGGAGGGTAGGACTGGGGTAGAGAACTTGCCTAGTAGGTGTTGGGCCATGGGTTCAATACCCAGCACCAAACACAGACACACACACACATAAAAAAAAAAGAAAAGAAAGAAAGAAAGAAAAGAAAACAAGATGGGGTAGGAAAAATTGGAAATGGGGAGGCAGAAACAGAGAGGTGAACTGAGTGGAGACAAAAAGGAAACAAGTAGGTGGAAGGCAGATAGATGCAGGTGTCCGGACATAGTGGCAGGCAGCACTCACCTGCTGGCTCCAGGTCTGGTAATAAGCGTTCAGGAAAAGCAGACAGGCAGTGGGCACTGGGCCCAGGGCACTCCACATCTCAGGTCTGGGAAGCAGCTTCAAGACCTGTTTTAGACATGGCTCCACCAGAGGCTGGAGTCCAGATACCTGTGTCCAAGTGACTGAGGAAGTAGGTGCAGAGAGGTAGACACCAGGGTCACTGTAAAGAGTGACAAAAGGGGCCACAGTGAGGATCTAGCTATCCCACTCCCCTCTTAAGATCTAACCATTCTCCCCACTTGGAGGAGCATTCCCTCCTGTCTGGGGGTTGCCAATAGAATGTTCCTACTGGCAGGCTCAGGTTATGGCCTACCTGGTGGATTCATTACAGGTGTTGCTAGCTGCCAGGGTCAGCTGGGTGAGGAGAGTAAGCAAGGAGGCTATCCGCTGCATGGACAGTGGCTGAAGTGGGTGGTTGCTGAGTTCCATGGGCACAGCCTGCAAGGCTCGCATGAGCACTGGGTACAGTTCCCTAGGGAAGAATAAGTACTAACTTCTGATGTATGAAGGGGGATGAAGATGCAGGACACAATGTACAACTCAGGTCAGGGATCTGCCATCTGCTGAAGGAGAACTGGGACACAGAAGACCCCAGGGTATTCAAGGATGCCCCAACGAAAGGGAACTTATATCTGATTTCATCAAGATAACAATGCTTTTGTGTAAAACTTAGTTAACTCATGTTTGTCCCTCTCTTCCATAGCAGGTGTTGACCCAGGAGTATTTACCACCACGAGAATCTCTTCTTCCTCTTTTTTTTTTTCTTTTCTTTTGATACTGAGGATTGAACCTCGGGTACTTAACCAGTGAGCCCAATCCTCAGCCCTTTTTATTTTTTGAGATCAGGTCGCACTAAGTTGTTTAGGGCCTCACTAAATTGCTGAGGCTGGCCTCAAACGTGTGATTCTCCTGCCTCAGTCTTCCCTGCTACTGGAATTATAAGCATGCACCTCCAAACTGGCTAATCCCTTCTTCTTCATTCCTAGCCCCACTCCAAGCTTAGGACCTTGGGCAAAGCAGAGGCACCAGGTTAGTACAGAAGTGGAGGAGTCTACATCTACAAGGGAGTTTACACCCTGCCTCTCCTCACCTGTAAAGCTCACTGCCATGGCCATAGGAGGCAGCCACAGCCCACAGACGAAAAGCCTCAGTGCACAGTGTCTCGGCTTCTTCTGGGGGTAAGGAGAGTTCTTGGGGAGCCTCAGCTATGAAGCGACACAGGTGGCTCCGGAGATCAAAGCTGTTCAACTGTGGGTAGGCAGAAAGTCTGGTAATTAGGGCTAGCTGGAACTTACAATTCTAACCAGTGTCAGGTTTTCTCACTATAGAGATTGGCTCAACTCAGCCCTGCCCTGGTTCCAGGTCTGTCTACATGCCACAGGGCCACAGCTCTGAGCAGGGATGAAACTACCTTGTCCTCTCCCCAATCTTTCTTTCTTTCTTTTTTAATTGTGCTGGGAATTGAACCCACGGCCTTGCATATGCTAAGCAAATGCTCTACCACTGAGCTACATCCTAGGCCTTAATTTTTTTTTCTTTTTCTGTGTGTGTGTGTGTGTGTGTGTGTGTGTTACTAGGGATTGAATCCAGGCCTTGTGCATGCTAGGCAAGCACTCTATCAACTGAGCTATATCCCTAGCCACCTCCCTCTATCCAGGCCTTTTTATTTTTTTTGAGACAGGGTCTTGCTACATGGCCTGAAATGATCTTGAACTTGCGATCTTTATTCCACAGCCTCATGAGTAGCTGGGATTATAAGCATGTGCAACCATGCCCAACTAGACCTTCTTTTTAGTAAGCACTTGCTGGGTACTTTTTTAGGCTACTTGGCTATAGATGATGAGTGTCTGTTTGTATGTGGCTTTTCTGATCTGGGTCTAAAGCAAGGAGAACCTCTTCACATCATGAGACCAGGGAAAGCCTACAGGATATACTAGGCTCCAGGTGATCAGGTTTCTGCCTGGTGGTTTCAGTTGAATTTCTAAATGATGGCATGAGTTGTCCACCTAGAGTTCAGAGGCCATCCTTAGCTCTCAACCTAGCCTTTCTGTGTCCTCCATCCCTTGTCTTATGCCTACTCACCAGCCGGGCAGCGATATTCCTACCAGCCGAGGCTAAGACTCGAAGTAGTTTCATGGCAGCAGCACAAGGCACTTTGTGTAGACTAGGGGTAGGTCCTCCCTCAATGGGGGCCCAGCAGGTGGGCAGAAACTCTCGAACTATGGTCTCTATCAGGCGTGGGCACTCCAGTACCTATGGGAGAAAGGAGCAAAAAGGGAGGTAGAGAGGCTGAGGATCAAGAGCAAGCCCAGCTAGGCTTGGCCCATTCCTTGCCCCACTTTCCTTCTCACCCTTGTGGCTGACTCCAAGGAATGCCGGGCCAAGCGGATAAGCACAGCCACGATGTCAAGGACCACAGTGGGTCCTGGACAGGTCACCTCCAGCACATACCGTAGCCGAGGCAACAGGTTGGTAGCCAGGAGTCCCTGGGGGTTGAGAGAGAATCGAACTGCTGAATGCAGTCAAGCCCTGGGCCCTGATGACCCCTGCTGCCCAACATGTTTAACTTCTAGGAAAGGAGACAGAAAAGCAGCTTTTCTTCTACCTTGATGACATCATAACGGGCCAGGTCAGGTGGAGGTCGGTGTCCTTCCTCAGGCATCTTCTTTTTTGCCTTTTCTCCTGGGGGTTCTTCATCCTCACCCTCGTCTTCCTTGTCCTCCCGGCTGGGCATCAGAGGGAACACCGAAGCTCCATGATACCATGAGAAGGTGCTGTCAAGGAGCTCCTGCCAGAGAATAGGGGACAGGGATAGAAGAGGAAGAAGTGGCAGGAGATGGGTCCAGGGGTATAGTGGAAGCCCCCCGCAAATAACAGAAGGGGAAGGTTTCTTTGGGAGAAGAGGGCAATGCCTGCTATCCCCTTTTCTGCTCTGCCCACAAAGCCTTAGCAATGGTGCATTCCTACAATAAGGAGTTAGTCCCTGATGCCTCTGGGCCACATTATTTTTTTTAGTGTCAAGGATTAAGCTCAAGAGCACTTAACGACTGAGCCACATCCTCAACCCTTTTGGTTTTATTTTTTAAACAACAAGGTTGCTTACAGCTCACTAAGTTGCTGAGGCTGGCTTTGAACCTGTGATCCTCCTGCCTCAGCCTCCCAAGCCACTGGTAATACAGGCATGAGCTACCATGTCCAGCCTTGGTCATGTTCTTATTCCTATGATACCTCATCTCCAGGAGCCACCAACAGAGCCCGAAGAGCCCGGACAGCAGCTGCAATGACTCCATCCACTCTGTCATCCAGGGAGAAGCGCAGTAAGAAGAGGAAACCAGCATCCAAAAGGAGTTGTAAGACACTGCCCACTAGCTGCTCCCCAAACTCACCAGCCTGGGCCTTGGGGGCAGAAGGATAAAATCTTGCTGAAGATGCTGAAAGTATACAGAATCTTTGTCCACTCATAACCCTGTTTGCCCCATTTTCAGTCTGACCCACAGACAACTGCTGTATGGGATAGTTCCAGACTGAAAAGGGCAGGAGGTAGGAAAATCTAAGGTCAAGGAGTAAGGGTGTGGGATGAGGCTGGACAGGACCAGGCCAGCAGTCCACTTACCCTGCCAATGACCTGGGACAACACATGCAGTGCTAGTATTCTCTGCTGGGACACCCGGCTGCGGGTCAGGTGGAACAGCTCCTGTAGAGAGTACCCTGCTCTCTGGGGCAGGGAAAAGAAGTCAGAAGGGGCCAAAACACATGGCAGTGCCTCCAAATACCCAGCAAGGTGTCAAGGGAAAGACAAAGATAAGTAAGTGATGTCCCACACTCCTACTCTCCATGGAACCTCAAGTTGGTATAGCAGATAGGATATGAGCGCAAGTAACTAACAGTTAGTACTGAGAATGTACTAACTGATATTTAATTTACAACCAGCAGACTAGAAAAGGTGGACCTGGAAAAGTGATCTGATCTCAGTGGATGGGTAGAGCTTCAAAGGTCTAGCATACAGCAAAGGGCAAAAACATTTCCTGGAGTGAGTCCTCGAGGTTCTTGAGCACATGGAATGTGGGGAGGAACCACAGAGTGGTAACATCAGGAGTGAAGGAGGCAGGTCCAGGGTCAGCAGTGATAACCTGTGGAAGAACTGTCTTCACAAGCTGAGGAACCAGGACCTTATTCTGTGAGCAGACAGGAGCCATGAGACTTTCTGAGGCAGGGCATGGCTTTAGCTAGGCCAGAGAAAATCAACATGGCAGTCCTATAAAAAACCGAATGGCCTGAGGGACAGTGTGGAAGACTTAATGATTGAGCAGACACAAGACCATGAGGCCATGATCCAGGGAGCATCATGGGGAAGTAACAGAAGTTCTAAAACTAACCAGAAGGCGAAGAGAGAGAAGTAAGATTTTGAGCCTTAGTAACTGAATCGACAGCAAGGCTATGAACTGGAACAGAGCACAAAGGATGTCAAAGGCAATTGATCAGAGGTCTTTTTCCACATGGTTGTTAAAAGCACTTGCCAAGAGCTACCCAGTCCTCCCTGGCCTCCATGCCTCACCTCTGCCTCTTCTCCATGGTGATGCAGGCCTAGATGGGTGGGTAAGTCCACATCAGGGGGTAGCAGCTCTCCCTGAAGACTGAAGCGGGCTTGCATTCTCTAATGGGAAGAGAAAGAAGACTGAACCGGGGGTAGCAGCAAATTCCCCATATGCATTCCTCACTTTTTTTTTTTTTTTGCAGTATTATAGGGAAAAGAATTTTTGTGGTATTGCAAAACCCAGGGCTGCTCTACCACAGAACCATATCCACAGCCAAGATAGCTTGCTCAGATGCTGAAGCTGGCCTCAAACTTGGGATCCTCCTGCCTCAGCTTGCTGAGTAGCTGGGATTATAGATCTATATCACCACACCTGGCCCACTCCTCACTTTTAACCTCAGGTAGCTGAGGACTTAGGTCCTGACTTTACTTCTGACTAGAAATGGGGCTTTTCTGATCATAAGGGCCAGGCAGAGTGATGGGAGAGGAAGGTGAAAGCAAAGGAGAGATGCTTTTCATGCGCAGGTTCTGAGGACAAACGCAGCAGCCCCACCTTACCTTCTGTGTCTGCTGCCGCCGGAGTGGGGGCAGGTCCTGGGTCCAGTGGAGCTTTTCCAGCTCAACAGTGTCCATGTGTAGCCATTCTTTGTGGGGGGTCACAGGCAATGTCAGTGCTGGGGAGATGAAAGAATGATAGTATTCCCTAAGGGGCTTAGATCACTAGTCCACTGGGGCCTCAGTCAGCAGATAGCAGCTGGCATATTGCCTCTATCCAGGATTAGAAACTTCTACCCTCAGTTATGACTAGTGGTATGTCTTGGGGAATGGAACTCCTGGGACCTGGGGAAATACCTCAGCTATGGTAGACACACCCAGTCCCGGCTCTAGCCCTTTGCTGACTTCAAGAATTTGTTGGGAAGGGAAGAGGAGGAAAGAAAGAGAAGAGAGAGGGAAAGAGGAAAAGAGAAGGGATATACATCAGGCAAAGCGTTGCTCTCTGCTCTCTAATGCTGGTTTGCTTAAGGAGCTGGGGAGTGGGGACAATGAGGAGATTGTGGTTATATCTGCTCCAGGGGCAGGATATAGAAACACACCCCTACAATATCCTCCTGCTTCCTCACCCCTGCCCCCACTCAACCTGCCCAACTGGCCCAGAGCTCCTGCAGAAGCAGGAGGTTCCTGGCTGTTGTAATTCAATTTCTTCTTTTGTTAATCCCTAATGAAATAATCTAGTTTCTGGGAAATGAGTGCTTCCACTGGCCTCTGCTTCTGGTCTGGCCATGTCCATAGACCTTTGTCAGACTCTTCCTCTCCCATTACCCTGGCCCTGCCATCTCCCCACAACATTGAGAGAAGAGGCAGAAAGAAGAGTGGGATGGAAACAGCCAGGCTGGGCAGCTGTAGCAAGGGCAGGAAGACGGTCTGCACAGGGAAGGAGCATTCACCACCACACTGGGCTGCCTCTTACCAGGGAAGGGGGAGAAGGAGCAATAATAGAATAAAAAAACAGGAAGCCTGTGTAGGAAGATGTGCATCAGCAAATAAAGACTGATTTGAGTCAATTTAAAAATACTAATGAGGATTAATATTCAATGTCTAAGGGCAGAGAAGCTCTCGCTTCCCCACCCAGCACGGCTAGGGGAAGGAACACTTCTCTACTTTTATCCACCAAAAGATAGTTCCCTCTTCCAAACCTGGGACTCCTGGCTCCACCTTGTCCTCTTTGGTTAGTTCACTAGGAGAAGCTGACTTGATGGGCTCCTCTTTGGTGACAGGAACTGAGGGTTCTCCTGGCCTCTGTTCCTTGGTGGCCTTCTCTCCCTTTTGCTCATGGGTGCGGCTATGAGATCTCAAAAAGGCAACCAAGCTGGGGTCTGGAGACAAGGTAGAGGGGAGAGAGTGAAGGCAGATCCTCCCTAGCCTCCTAATACCTGACACCTGCTGCAAGTTGCCCACCACTGGTTGCTAAGAACCGGACAAGTTGTTTCTCAGTCTTGGCCTGAGCCCTCTGGGCTCTTCTGTGGCCCTTTAATAACCCTACATCCTCATACCTTCAGGTGCCCCAGGGCCCTGACCACTCCACTTTTCCTCTGCTCCTCACAGTCCTCAGACCCAAGTTCTAGTGCTTGTCCCTGTGATTAGCACCAGGACACAGGTCTGAAATAAGGAGCTAGAGAATGAATTAATGAATGCTGACTAGTACCAAAGAGAAAGCACTCAGGGGAACAATTTCCCACAACTTCACTCAGCCAATTTATTTATGCATGTCTAGTACATTACATAGTTACCAGATATATAGTGGGGCAAAAGATTGATTAAATTTTGAGTGTTTTGTTCAACAGAAACTAGGAGAGAGGTTTGAAATACCAGTGTCATACAACAGATTATGTTCTATTACAAAAATGTGCTGTAGGGGCTAAGGTTGTGGCTCAGTGGTACAGCCCTTGCCTAGCATGTGTGAGGCCCTGGGTTTGAGTCTCAGCACCACATATAAATAAAGTAAAAGTCCATTTGCAACTAAAAAAAAAAAAAAAAA